ATTCTACCAGAATTGTATTTCTAAGGTTTGTTTCGATATAGTTTCTTCTGATCATTTGTTTTTTTCCCTTCATAGTCTATGAGTGAAATCATCTTTATTTATCTTTTCCCTGACTTGTTTTAATGTTTCAAAAATAGCAAGATTTCATCACACTTTAGGACTGACCTACAAATTCCATTCTATCTGTAGGGTAGAATCTTCTATTTTCTTAAACTAATCTTTTTTCAGACACTTACATTGCTTCCATATCTTGGCCATTATAAATAATACAGCAATGAACATAGTAGTCCATATGTCCCTTTAAATCTGTTTTTTTTTCTTTTACATTTTTTAGTATAGAAACTCAGGAGAGAACCACTGGGATCATATGATACATCTATTTTTTAGTATTTCAAGAAAGCCCCATAATGTTTTTCTTAGAGGTTGGACCAGTCAACATTCCCACCAACAGTGTATGAGGGTTCATTTTCCTTTATAACTACTCCAACTTTTTAGTAATGGGACTTTTTTATATAGGCTGCTTCTATATATTTATGTGTTATCTCATTATTATTTTTATTTGCATTTCTCTGATGACAAGTTTTCATGAGCCTTATTTTTTCCCTGTGCCTTTTGATTGACTGTATTTTTTATATAAATAGCTATTTAACGTTTCTACCCATTTTCTAGTTGAGTTGTTTTCTTACTGCTGAGTTGTAAGTGGTGTTAGTAGATCTTGGACATTAACCATTGTTAGTTATATAATAAGCAAATCTTTAGCTATCTAGAAGATATTTAAAAAAAATCACTTTATTTATTTGTACATATAAAAGCTAAGATGTAGGCCAGTGGTATGGTGGGGGTAGGATGATTCACCGTAGACAGAGTAGGGAGCACCACAGGTGGAGTGACTGAAATACACTGCAGAGGGGAGCTGTGGAAGAGACAGGAGAGTTTTGCCACAGCTTTTGGGCTAACTCCCTGGCCAGGATAGAATTTGTGCTGCCAATAGCTTCATAGCTCTGAGCCTCAACCCCTTGTACCACCAAGGAACCCCATATGTAGATTTTTGATTAGATGTACCCTAATTTTTTTCTCCTATCCTACTTCAGTTCCACACTGCATATTTTTAAAGCCAATGGTGAAGTGTGCTTTGCATATGTTTTCTTCTATATATTTTATGAATTCAGGTCTTAACACAAATATTTAATCCACTTTGAATTAACTTTGTTTGAATCACAAGTGGCTATCCAGTTTTCACAACATCTGTTGAAAAGACCTTTCATTGCTCCATTGCACAGTATTGAATTCAATGCAAATTAACTCTCTATGTAAGTGCAGTTTTACTTTTTGGCTCTCAGGTCTATTCAATTGGTTCAAGTATATTCACCATCACACTCTTCTGATTGCTCTAATTTTGTTGTACAGTTTGAAGACTGGGATCCATTCTTCCTATTTTTAGTCAGAATTTTTTTTGGCTATTTGGGATCCTTTATGGTCTACATAAATTTCAATGTTTTCTCTGCTTCATTGAATGCCATGAAAATTTAGGTAAGGGTTGCATTGAATCTGTATAAGACTTTGGATAAGGTGATTATTCTAAAATGTTAGTTCTTCCAACCCTTGACCAGGATATTATCTTTCAATTTATTTGTGTCTTTTATTTTTAAACAATTTCTTATAGTTTTCTTCACCTCCTTTTCCCATTTATTTCTAGGTATTTATTAATATGATTATAAAATAAATTGTTTTCTTATTTTCATATAGCAACACAAAATATTTTGTATATTATGAAGTCATTTAAAAACCTTGATGGTTCAATGACTGAAAGACAAATTTGTTTTTATTTTTGCCTGTATAGCACACAACCATTAGGCAAATGTAACTGAACCAGCAGAATAAGGGACTGGAAATTGAGAATGGCATGTTACTAACTGGATCATATTAGTGACAAAATGGTGACTATGAACTTGAAGAATGTACTGTGGGCCTCCAGGGTGGCAGAAGGGATTAAGTCTCAACACTGACGCTATCTGTAGCCATTGTAGCAGGACTGATCCCTAGCTAGGGATTTAACCCATGTGGCTCAGCAGACCTCTCCTGTCTTCCCTACCACCCTCTCAGTAGCATATTTCAGTAGATCTGCCTGTTCTACTCCCCACTCTCTCTGCTGAAGCCTCTCACTCCACACCTCTGGCCTATACCCCAGCACTTGTATGCATAAATAAAAAATAAATCTTAAAAGTTATATACTATAGTACCCTCCCTGGTGGTGCAGGGGGATAAAGCACAGCACTAAAAAGCTAAAGCCACTTCAGTATGAGTTTGATCCCCGCCATGGAGGTGACTCACACGGCGCGGCAAACATCTCCTGTCCTGCCCGCTGTTCCCCTCAGCAGTGTACTTCATCAGTCTGCCTGTTCTGTTCACTACTCTGTCTCTAGTTAATCCTTTCACCACCCCTCCACCTCTGGCCTGTACCCCAGTTCTGTATGCACAAATAAATAAATCTTTAAGAAAAAATTAGAAGCAAGCTACTATTTTTGGTGATACATTAATTTACAGGTGAGAATGAAGACTTCTAATATTTAATATGTTAGATATAAAATGAGATAAAAATAAATAATATTTATTTTGCCTTGCACTTCAATTAAAAAAAAAACATAAGTAAGCTGTAGTTAATTTAAAATAATTGAGAAATACTTATCCTTATAGGAAAAAAGAACAAAGAAAAACACAGGCCTTGAGAAATAACCCCATTTCATCTTTTCTAGTTTTGCTTAGTTTGAGATGTCAGTGACAAAGATGAAAAGTCTCTAGTCATCTATTAGCAAACCGTGATGATGGTTTTAATGATTTTTTAAAAGAAAGCATCTCTAATTTTAGACAGTATCTAAGATACTTAATTTCATGTATGTTAATATGCACATAAGAAAAAGAAGTATGTAAGATTACCTACAAATGAGAAAATTGAAATAATATTTTAAAAAGTTTAAAAATTTCCAGATAAGTTTAAAAGAGTATAAAGCTTGCTTAGTAAGCAGCAGTGAATCTCCTTGCATTAACAATTTGCTTATAGCAATAATGTTCAATAGTTCTTTCTACAAAAACAGAAATTTTCTAGATCTATGCTAGTTAATATAGTAGCTACTATTTACATGTACCTATGGAGTACTTGAAATATATCTAGTAAACACAGAAAGTGAATGTTTAATTTCACGTAGTTATAAGTACTTAATATTTAAATTTAAAAAGCCTGAGTTGGAAATGGCTAGCATGTTGATAGTATAGGTTTATAGATTGTAAGCAACTAAATTACTTTGTTTTAATTGGATTTCCCCTGTCATAACTAGATATCAGCCTAAATCATTTTGGTCTTACAAAACAAGCTCTGAAAGGTTTTTTACATTTTATTGGTTTAAATCTATGTGAGGTCAGAGTTTGGTAGTCCTAAATTTGTAATTTTTTAAAAAAACTTTTTGGCAATCTTTAAAGGCATATTAAGGTTCCTTCTGAAAATACTTTTCATATCTCAATATCGTGCCTATGGGTTGGGATGGGAAGTTGAGATTGTTTACAGGGAACTAAAGGTAAAGTTGCTAGTAAATGGCAGAGTTGGTATAGAATCAATATGCTATATCACTGAAAAAAAAAATGTGTCACAGTTATTTTGAAAGTTCTGCTACTATTGTGTGAAAGTTTCTCAGAAACATAGAGCTTCCAGAATACAGAAGAGAATCTGTTCTAAAAATCATTTCCATCAGGAAACCCTTGGTTTTGTTTCTTATGCTGTAAGCATATTACAGACATGAACACCTTCTTTCTGTTCTATACTCTTTGGTTACATAGTAAACTTGACTGTCCTAAAATCTTCCTGACTAGCTTTTTTCAGAGCTGGATTTTTGTTGAAAACACACATAGTTTTTCTTCCTTAGCTTAATTGCATCTAAATGTACTCTTAAAAGATTCCTAGTGACATAGCTCCACTGAATGTTACTATTTTAGTCTTCAAGGTTAAAGCTGTCCTAAATAGTTTTCCTAAAATTACCATGAAGTGCCTGCCAACAAGTGTGTCCGATTTACCATGGAGCAAAGAAAAATAATGCCACATTCGTAAGTATCTGCCTGCCATCACTTAGTTCATCTGTATTTTACTTTGATAAAATGCAGTCACAACATATTTAGGATGAATCAAGCTTTTCTTTTCATTCTGTCTGGATAGATTAGGGAGTATGTCCTCTGTTAATTTGGAAAGCCAAGGGTTTGTTCTTAAAGATGATTTTTTGCTAGCAGAGAATAATCTTGTGAGCTGAGTAAATCTAGGAGTTTTTATAAACAATCTCCTACAGGAAAACTGATAAGAGTTGGACCGACAGAACATACATGGCTGCCCAGCTTGCTTGCTGACCTGAGTGTAATATTCTATTGTGTAACTCCAGGAGACTTATGCCTACGAGGGGGTTAGAAGAATGGGGTTAAAAGGGTACATCAATTTCACCTTGCCCTTTCCCTTAGGAGCAAGGGGGACATTTGAAAGAGTGAGACTGAGACACTTGGATTTTCAGGAGGGAAGCAGGTCAAGTTTTCAGATTTATGGACTTCTGAAACTGAGCGCTAGGGTATTATGGAACCCAACTTCCTATCTGGTGACTCATGAGGAAACACGAACATTTTCTTCATGAAACACTACATATAAAGAGAATATTGCTCAGAGAATCGCCTATGGCCATAAGATCTTGGTAAGAGGTTGCAAATCTCTCACACAATTTAACATCAATAATATATAGTGGTAGTTAAGTGTTTACAGTTTAAGAATATGTGTGTGTGTGTGTGTGTGTGTGTGTGTGTGTAAAGAATATATCTATATATATTCTTAAACTGTTGGAAGGAATTTTATTTATGCTTCTTGTGTTTTTCTCACCAGACAATGGTGTGTGTAGCTTCTTGTGTTACCTCCACTTTTGACACATTATAGAAAACTACTAGACAGATATACTATGCCATACATGTAAGACATTTACCTGCATACAGAGCTTCTGGGATGGCATCAGGGGCTTATTCAGATAAAATCTCAGCCGTTTTACACCTATTTATTATGTATCAAATCTGAAAAGAAAAAGATTGTGATTCGGTGAATATGGTCACATATTTATAGGGGAAAGCATTAAAACCACATTTTAAGAGTGTTTATAAAGGGAACAGAACCATTTGTTCCATATAAAGAACACACATTTTCTTATACTTAGGCTGTGCTAAGTGACTGCCAAGGGAGCCCTTCCTCTTCCTGCTTGCAGACTGTGTCTCCCCATACACTTGCAGATACAACAGCAGAGAAGTTGAAACGAGCAATCTTTTAGGAGCACATCCCCACTTCAACAGGTGCACTTGCTTCATTCACTTGCCACTAGGACTCCAGTCTCCAGTCACACCACACTATCACATTAGCACTTCTCTCCCACCTTAACCACGTTTTTCAAAGTCTAAAAATCATCTTTATTGCATTTTGTAAGTTTATTTATTTATATGCCACAGCTGAATGAAACCATCTGGTACTTGGCTTTCACTTTCAGATTTATCACCTCAAGAAACATCCATTTATTCCCAAAAGACACTATTTCATCTTTTAAATGGGTGAATAACACAGATGTATGCACAATTTCTTTACCCAGTCATCTACAGATGGGCATTTAGGCTGGCTCCATGTGTTGCCATTGAGAATGACATTGCCATGAATAGAGGGGCATAAATCTCTTCATGCTAGTGTTACCACATTCTTTGGGTAATACCTCTAAGTGGTTTTGCTGGACCTTAGGATATTTCTTTCTTACTTTTTTTTTAAAAGACATTTATTTATACATACAGAATTGGGGAACAGGCCAGAGGTGCAGCGGTGGTAAGAGGACTCACCAGAGACAGAGTAGGGAGCAGAACAGGCAGATTGACAAAGTACACTGCTGAGGGGAGCAGCGGGCGGGTCAGGAGAGGTCTGCTGCGCCATGTGGATCACCTCCATGCCGGGGAGCGAACTCTCACTCAAGTGGCTGCAGTGAACTTGCAGTGCAGGATCCATTAGGGAGAGGGTAGCTCTATTTTCAATTTTGTAAGGACTATTCATACTGTTTTCTAAATAGCCCACATCAATTTACATTCTCACCAGTGAGTGTTTCTTTTTCTCCACATAAGTGATTATTTTTAATATAGAGCTTTTACCAGTATTATTGAATTGTAGTTGAATAATATTTTAAATACATATATATATATATATATTTTGCATAACAGTAATACATGTCAGTGTTATAAGCATCAAATTGCATACATATACTTCCTGAAGATATTATTAACAGTTTCTTATATATTTTTCTAGTACTTTTATAAAAAAATATAGAAAGTACATTGAAATGTGAATAGGCATGCTTTTCTATTTCAAACATCATGCTATTTGTTTTATTTCTTCTTTGAAAGCTTAATATAACTAGCAGCAACTTTCTATACCAGTGTACACAAATTTACTTCATTCATTTTGAAACCAGATAGTATTGCATTGGCTGAATTAATGTGTATTAATGTATTTAACCAATAAATATGCCGTTTAAATTTTATTTAAGTTTGCATTTTTGACTACAAAAATGTTTCAATGATTGTAATTACACATACTTATATATGTGCTTATTTGGCTATATCATTAGAATAAGTTGCAAAGCATAATTGTTAAATCAAATTGTATATTTAAGTTTTTAAAAGATGCTTACCACATGTCCTTTAGAAAAGTTAAGCCAATTTATGATAACCAAAAGTATGGCTCTTATTTAAGTTTTCCTCTCAATGTAAGTGAATAGAATCTATTTGCTTTGATTTACTTTCTTTAGTTATAGATGAGTGTGCTTCCTTTTGTTTTCTTAATTATTGTAGTTAATCATGCCTTTCCTCAGTTTTCAATTGGGTTGTTTATTTTTTCACTTTTTAAAGAGTTTACAACAAAGACAATGACATTTTACATGCAATGTGTGGCATATGGCTTTCCTAAATTTCCATTTATATATTGCCTTTGTTATGGTATTTTCTTTTTCTTCAACCTTTTAAGTTTCCTTAAATAGTTAAATTCATTACTATTTTTCATTATATATTTGGAGGGTTTTTTTTTATTTGAGGAATGTTTTAAAATAGCAGAGTTATTTAGATAGAATGTGGTTACTTTGAAAAACAACAATATACACCAATTGTATTATGTACTAGTGTACTTATGGGGAGAAAAAAAAAATTGAAGACAGGGTCACAGTTGCTAATTTATTTTCCAGAAAATTAATAGCATTTCTTTAAGTACTGAAATCTAGAGTAAATTAGCAGGAAAGCAGTAAAATTCCAAGACAAACAGAAAATACGAAGTATAAAGGCAACAAAGGTTCATTATAGGACAATTTGTAACAATATGCAAAAAAAAAAGGAAAAATTTAGAAAGTTATGCAATGCCTCACGACAGATGAATAGATTAGATATTAGATTAGATGATTGGAATAGATTAGATGTGGACTGCATACAGATATAATACTATGCTACTAAAAGACTATGAAATCTTGCCAATTATGACAATATGGATGATACTGGAGGGTATAAATGATATAAGCCAAAATTACCTCAATAAAAATAATTTAACTTAAAAATAAATTTATCTGATTAATATTAAAAATAGACATTATATTATGATTGGCTAAAAAATCTCAACATATGAATGAGCCTTGATGGTATTATGACAAGCGAAATAAATCAGAAGAAGAAAGACAAATACCGTATTTCACTCATATGTGAGTTATAAAGAAACAAAGACCACAAAACAAAACCCCCAAATTTTTAGATATAGAGAACAGAAAACTAGCTACTAGAGGACAGGGACTTGAGGGTGGGGTTTAAAATGGAGAATGGGGGTCAGTTATCAGTGTGAATGGAAACTAGATATTTGGTGGGCATCATTATGTAGTGTATATAAAATATAAAATTAAATATATCTCAAATCTACATAATGCTATAAACCAATATTATTTCAATATAAAATATTTTAAAAAATCATTTCAACCTTGATCGTAATAACCCTTAAAGGTTTTTAATATTTATCATATAATGTACCTTGTCTGTTTTTCTAACTTGACAGTTTTAAATGTTAGAAATCACTGTTGATATATAAATTATTTTCATTAGCACATCAATAATTGGACCTCCATGGTGATCTCGGGCTTAAGTCTCAGTACTATCACCACTACAGTCTGAGGTCATTCCCAGCCAGAGAGGGAATCCACATATGGTGGGGAGACCTCTCCTATTTCACCCCTGCTCCCCTCAGTAGTGTTAGTTCAGGAGATCTGCCTGTTCTGGTGAATCCTCTTACCCCCTGTACCTTTGGCTTACACTCTAGTTCTTCTATGCAAAACAACAACAACAAAAAGAATGTAATTACAAATCATAATTACAAATAACTTAAAAACTAGTGGCACTTTGATCAATCTATCAAACACACATACTGTATCATGCTTATGAGTTATGTTTATTCACTTATAATTACCTTTCATTGCCAGTAAATATTTTATATGCACTTATTAATATATTATATATTAAATATATATTTATATAAATACATAATGACTATATAATGTTCCATCATTTGGCTTAGCCTGATAGGAATTTAAAAGAAATGGAATAGATTTGTGCTTCTCTACTGATAACCTGGTAGATCTCATGCCAGAATACATTCAAGAAATAATTATGTGTGAATCACATTCCAATCTTTTTCATGCTTGATAAAAGTGGCAGCAATTAACTGTGTGAAGGTTAAGGGCTACGAGACATCATGGTATTTTTTTTTCTTTTTTTGTAAACTGCCATCACTTGAATGGAAATGGTGTTACATTACTGCGTTAATGGAACGTTCCTGTTTTAGGGAATACCACACAGGTATAGATGCATGTAAAATGCATTTGAATTTTACAGAAGAGTTTGAATAAAAAAACTGAAGAAAAATAAGTGATGATTAAATTGTAAGTGTATGAAGCTTACTAGAAGAAATATTGTTAGATCTTTAAAACTATTGGAAAAAATACTTAGATAATATGTAAACCCAGTAACAAAACATGTTGGCCAAGTGAGACCACAGGATTCTAATGGATCATACAAGAACCACTGGTATTTCATCATTTATTAGCATTAAAAAAGTCTGCCTGTACTGTGCAGAGTGTTTTGTGGGCACTTCATCCCCTCTCCAGCCCTGCATTTTGGCATTATAGCATCATGGGTTGATTTTGTCCTCACCTAGAACTGACGTGTTAGACAGTGTACTGACAGTGTGCTTGTAAGTTCTAGATAAAGTAGCTGGTAAAATTCAATCTCCCAATGATGTTCCTTTATCACTGAGAATGTCAGGACCCCTCCATTCTGTACATGCTCACAAGGAACCCACACTCGCCTTAGTCTTCTGAGTAACATCAATGAACTTTTGTCCAAAAACAGACATTTGGCTGGATCCAGCTTTCAGAGAAGCTGCGAATGACTGGGGAAATTGTTCAGAGACTGAATCATTTGGGGCAAATCACTGACGACTTAAAATAAGTTATGACTTGATAGCCAACTAACTGGTTAATAATTACATTTGTTGATAATTTTTTAAGACAAATTTTAAATATATAATATTTCTTTTAAAAGCTAAAGAATGACCATTATTTTGTTGAAGTGCTAGTTGATATATAAATAAGTTATATATACATATATATGGAATGTCTCACTGAATTTAAGCATCAGATCACCAAAAGTAAAAGCATTATTACATTTAGCTAAATTTTGGGGAAAACAGAACAAACCTAATGTTTAAAATAATCAGCTATCATAGATTCAGTATTTATTTCCCAAATAAGGAAGGAATTTCTAAAATTCTTCATTATTTTTGTGAATTAAAAATTAAACATCAGTTGCAAATGTTACAACCAAATTGGAAAATGCTTTATTTTCTCTGAGGTGCACAATACTTGATTTCAAATTGGAACTTTCAAGACATTCTCAAATAATTATTTGATTGAAAAAGCAGGTGGTATAGTGTAGAACAGAGTGTGTGGGGCCTGCAGCAAAGA